AAAACCGACTTTATACAAATTATCGAATTTGAGACATGCTTAAGAAGACAGGTTATTTACTAGGTCAACTCTAACAGCCTGTTCGTCACAAAGTAAATTTGCTAAGTAAGGTATTACAGAACTTTTATAGATTTGCTTGCGTGCATGGATTTTAATGTATTTACGTCTCGTTCTACCAGAAGATATACAAGGAGAAAGATATGAATGAAGCGGATGGTTAGTATCTGATAAGATAACACCTGCCAAGAGTTTGCAACACTTAAGATGTCTATCCACAAGCATATTAACAATGACTTCAAAAGATTCACCACATACCTTGCAAACCGCCTTCAGCATTCTACGCAAAATAGCAAAGTCTTTTCTCAAAAGCCCAGGAAAGAATAATGGAGAACAATATAAAATAATAGGTAATATGCAGGAATTTACAAATTGTAAGAGTAAATGGCGAGTAATCCCAAAAGCATGCAGCCTCTTTATGTAGTATGTCAAGCGGTAAACTTTTTTCGATAATAGTAAAACATGAGAAGACCAAGAAAGATCAGAGGAAAAAGTAACACCAAGATATTTGACCCTCGACACTGTGTTTATTAAGGAGTCTCCAATGGCACAAGCATTATGGGATCCCAACATAGAGTATAGGTTCTGTCCATGTCTCAAGCTAAAATTAACAGCTTGACATTTAGATGAATTGAGTAAAGCTTTATACTTTCGATTTGTTTGGTAAGTGTTTGACAGTTGGGTTGAATTTCAATGACAAATATTTCCTTCAATTGATTTTTTTTATCTTGTTTGAAAAATCTTCAAGTAGACTTTTATTTAAAGTAATCACTTATAATGTCATCTAGAAAGACAAGAAAACTATCAGAATCGAATAGATAAGATACCAGAAAGTAATGGGTAACTAAGAGACTTACTGTATATATACAATTTCATTCTGTATATTTCAAACTCGAGTTCTTTCTTGGATCTTGTAGAAGATCTAAACTTATTAGGATTAGTAGTATTTCATTGGCTTAGTTCAAAATCATAGATAGTTCAGTGTCGCCGAATGAATCAACCCATCCAACTTAAACTAGAAATTTCTTGGTATTCATAAAATCTAGGGTGAAAGCTTTATTTTTTTGCAGAGAGAAAAGGAATTTTATTTCTAAATATGTTGGGTGAATAAAGCTTATACAATTATGACTATTTTTCTTCTTCACTACTTATTTGTTCATGAAGGAGTTTTATGATGTTCATATACGTATGTGTATTTTTGATGTTAGTAAAATTTTAATATTATACATTGATTCGAAATGATTTACTGTGCAGCAGTTCGTTCCGTCCTACTTTATGGCAGTGAAACATGGCCGATAAGAGTAAAAGATATTCGTAGACTGCTAGTATTCGATCATAGATGTCTTCGAAGCATTGCTCGTATATCCTGGGACCATCGGGTAAGTATTGTAGTTGTTAGGAAACGGATACTAGGTAAAGGTGGCAAATCGATTGATTAAGTAGTGAAACTTCATCAATGGAGATGGCTGGGACACGTGTTATGTATGCCTTACCACCGACTGCCCCGACCTGCGATGTTTTATGGCGTAGGAGTAGGCTGGAAGAAAGCTAGGAGTGCCCAAACCAAAACGTGGCACAAATCCATGAAGTCGCTGACAAATGGACTGGGTCATGTTGTTAGGTGTAGACTACCTGGTTGGGATTCTCAAGATGATAGAAATCGATGGTTAGGGACCTTGAATTACATGGCTCTAAATCGTTTGCAATGGCGAAGGTGCATCCACTCTTTGTGTTCTACCAAACTCCAATCTTCTGAATTCTTCATGTTCCTATCCTTTTTCTCTTTCCAAATTTATTTCACTGTATTATACTCTTGAATAACATCTTCAAACCATAATCTTTCACATAATGCTTATACTCTTACTACTTCTATCACTATGGGATTTGAATTGACAACTGCATCTCTGTGCTATTGTGGTGTGGCAACTCGAACTGATGTGCGTACGTACGAAGTTCTACGTTGTGACTGACTGACTGACTAATTAATCATATCATAACATATCAACTCCACCTGTAGCTCCTCCGGGGGCTACTGCCGGTCCCAAGCTCGGATAAAGGAGGAGGGTCGGGAATGGGGTTAGAGACCCCATCCCGTAAAAAACCAACTTACAAAAAAACACTAACCAGAAAAATTATTCAAGGAATTTAGGAATTTATCTCGAGATCAGTTACTGGTAGGCATGTTGTTATTATTTGTTTGGTTTTGGTAACTGAATTCAATTTTTCTTTAAATATGTAATACTAATTAGCAACAAAAGAATTTGTTAAGGTGTTATAAAGACCAGTATTACCATAAATACATGAACCTTTTAAATAAAGTAAGATTTTTTTATTTTTGGTTCCCTCAAATACACAACAATAAACGTTCTAATCAAATTTGTCTTCAACAATACACTATAATAATATTCAGTGTTAAATTTTCCTTTTACAAGAGTGGAAAGCATTTTAAGCAAAGATGAATGGTGAATAGCAGTAGGATCCACAACGTTCGTTTCGTCTAATTTGAAACACGTCAGCTAAGGATACCTGCAACCCAGGGTAGATGTTCACTCCGAAACTAGAACCCTGTGACATTTGCTTCAAACTCCATCGCGTTCTGAATTAAACAATGACTCGTGAATGCGGGTACATGTAGCTGACGAGTACAAAATTGGACTAAATGCGAGTTCTAAATTCCACTGCTATCCACCATCCATCTTTGTTTATAGTGCTTGTGACTTATGACAATATCGAGACAATCTACTCAGGATGCTAATATAACAATCAGAGACTGGTCGATTACAGTCCTAAACATTAATGATGTGAAGATTCAAAATAACAATCTAAAATGAAGTTGAAAGTAATTGTTTATAAATTTCTTAAGAGAAATTACCATGACAATCAGTAAGGAAATATATCCTTCGGAAAATTATTTAAAATTGGCACACCCTATATTCATTTAGATATTCTGTAATTTAAAAAAAGGAAATTGAAAATAATTTAATGTTCATTAATGAAATGAATTTCTGGTTTATTTCGGTCAGTTTTAAATATCATAATGAATAGTTTCAGCTTAATGAAATCGAACTCAAGTTGAGTTTTCTATTGTACATAAACAATGATAGTTTACGATTAAGAGATCCCATTCATGATCAAACTAATTAGTTAGTTTTTTTTATCACAAGTAACTGAACAAACTGTGGAGAGTTGATAGAATTAGAATGTTTTCATAGTTGAAATCATGAGTCAATTTAATCTAGACCATCATGGAAAACCTGGAAGCACTGGACGGCCGTTTCGTCCCATTATGGGACTCCTCAACAGTGCGCTTTCACGATCCCGCACTCGTGAGATTTGAACCCAGAACCTACCAGTGTCGCGCCGGAGCACTTAACCGATAGACCACTGAGTCGGTATCCAACGCTGTGGATGCGCACTGCTGAGGAGTCCCATAATAAGACGAAACGGTCGTCTAGTGCTTCCAGGTTTTCCATGATGGTTTAGCTTCAATTGACTCATGATTTCAACTATGAAAATACTGAAATCTCCACAAAACCCCTTCTAATCTAGAATTGGAATAATTACAAGTACATGCATATGATGGGGGGGTTAAGAATGTAACCGATTGTGTTAAATCCTACGGTTTCTGTCAGTTTATGTATAAGTGCTGAGACATACATATACACGGGGGAGCAGATATGATCTTCAAGTAAGGTTGTTTGAACACATACCTAAATGGCTACACAAACAAATGAACACCATTGGTCTGATAAAAGCATAGAGTAGACGAATATCTTTCTTCATTAAAAAAAGTATTCGGTCGAGATGGGTCATACTGTTGATAGGAAGTCAGCTTTCTTTTTGTTATATAAACGGTCGTCTAGTACTTCCAGGTATTCCATGATAATCTAGCTTCAATTGACTTATGATCTCAACTATTAAAATTATATAAAAGTGTTAAAAGCCGTATACAAAGGCTTATTGAAGCCTTATCCACACGAAAATTGAAATCTCCTCTATGTATTCAAAAGCAATTTGTTCTAATACTTAACCTACGATAATAATATTAATTTATTATCCATAGTGACTGTCACATTCCTTTTCATATTGTATACTTTATTGGATCTCCATTTCCTTTTATCTTTTAATTTGTCCAGGTGACTTTCCTTATTTTCTTCGTACCAAACAGCACGAAACCTAGGTCATGAGGAGTTTCCTACCGATAATTTACAACCCGTTAACATCAAGAAAAAGTGTAATCATAATGATAACCAAATATTTCACTTGGGAAAATTCTTTCATAATTTTAACACGGATTCGATCCCGTGTCACTCAAGGAGCACCAGTTCCCTCAAGATTACAGGTACACCTTGCTGACGAATGCCAAGTAGCACGAAACCCGGGTCCAGGGTTTCCAGTTGACCACCTCCAACCACCATATTATCTAAATCTATTTGAAGGGGATTCATTGTTAAAGCATGCAATAATGAGAAGTTATTTTAATATAAAATGACAGAATTTAGTTATTGTTGGCTGATGATACAATCTAAAAGGGTATACAATAGTGTAGTAATTACTAGGATCCACATTTTGTTACATTTTACTCCTACATTATAGTGATGAAGGGTTTTTTTGTTTTTTAGATATTTTCTTGTTAGAATTATGAAAGAATTTTCCCAAGTGAAATGTTTGATTATCATTAAGTTTACACTTCCTCCTAATGTTAACGGGTTGTAAATAATCGATAGGAAACTCCTAATGACCTACGTTTTGTGCTGTTTGGTACTCATCACATCTAGCCTTAGTTCTACTAATTTACTAGACAGGTTATATATCTGTTACGTTAGTGACAATGTATTTTGTTCAGTGATTAAGCTTATCTCCATTGTGTATTTTTATTCGATGCACCTAAGTCTGTTTGAAAATTCATAGTAAATTCATACTTTTTACATTTTTTCATTTAGGGTTATTGATGAAGCACCTCCAGCCTATGAAGATTTTGATAAATATCCTAGATTAAGTAAATATCAGGCCTCGGTAAAAGACTCAAATCCGGTTAAACCATGTACCCAACAACCTCGACAATTTTCACAGCTTGATTCTGATCAACATGTAAACTCATCAACAGTCTCATGGATAGAACCATATCCGAAACCACAAGGTGATCCACCACCTGCCTTTTTCAACTGGCTTCGTAATCGATTTGGTTCTTTACGTCAAAGCATTATGAGTCGTTTATCAAGTCAAAGTAACCAATTACAAGGTTCTTCGGTTTTCAGTATACATGATAATTCTAGTTTTCCAGTTTCATCAACTGTCAATATTCCGGAACCATCAAATTCAGTGTTTCCTGCACAATTATCTGGGGCAGTAGAGCCAAAGCTTTTGGAATTAAATGATTCAAAAATGACACGTTTATCATCATCATCATCATCTTCACGATCCAGTGCATCATCAATAGTTTGTGCAACTGATGAACAGACTATGATAGGAGTATCTACCATATCATCGAGTAGTCATAGTAATCAAATATCAAATTCTAGTTGTACAAATGTACCTCAGAGAACTTTAATAGTACGTGATTATGACATAGAACAAAATGATAGTCACGATGATACTGACGAAATCAATCAGTCTACGACTCATTAATGAATAAAATTTTGTTCGTCACAAAATGTAAGTATCACTCAGTTGACTTTTTGGGGAATTTTGAAAATTTACTTTTTTTTCAAAAAATAGCAGTGTCAAGTCACCTAGACTAGTGGCCACATTGCAACTTGATCGATAGCATTCGATCTGTACTAAGAAAGACCTGACACACATGACATTGATCTTCACCCAGTGATTAATCAATTGTGAGCATTCAATATTTTCTGACCTCATTTTCGATTTTCCTTTCATTTTCATTACTCTTTGAGCTTAAGCTTTCATCAGTGCGTTAAGAATCCTTGTTTTCAGAATTTTCTAGTGTAGGGTAACTTTTGCATAAACTTCTACTTTTCTTCCCGTAACTGCTTTGAAGACATGAGAAATAACTACTGGATTGTAGTCTTCATGTACTTTGGTTTACTCATATATTTTACAATTAATAGAGAAACTGTAATGAACCAAGACTCAGGTAGGGAAAGCCAGTATATTGTTTAAAGCAGTTACAGAGTTTTTTGATAAAGTGTAAAAACCATACATTAAATACAACATTTGCAAATATTCCATCAATTGTCCTTTACATCCTTTATGATTCTTCCATTACTCAATTCCTTTGTGCTTCCCTTTTTGTTTTCTTCAGTGCAATCTTCCTAGCTTCCATTTGACAATCGTTCACCTTCTAATTGGTGTGACATACTACTTATATCTGTCGACATGAGTAGCATACACCACAGCACCATTAAAAATCGGTAAATGTCTAACAGCCACTTCATCCTGTTATATAGCTTCTCAGTTGTTTCGATCCATGAGTCATTTTTTCAAGGGGTTAAAACTATCATCTTTGGTCCTAGAGACTAACGCATTTTCTTTCGACCCCTGGGTTGGATTACAATGGTCCACACCTCCAACTTCATACAGTTCACTATATAAAAATATGGGTTCACAGAAAGATTACCTGATCGAGTGATGGATTCTCATTCCAAAAACCCAAATGATAGAATGAAATAACTGTACACTACTTACTGATCTTTAATGGTACCTTAATTAATGTCAATATACAAAAAATACCGCCTACAACTATATCCCAATTTCAGCAAAATTAACGGTTTCTTCATTAAACCAATAATTAAACGCTTTATAATTATTCACTTAGTATTGTTTGTTTGAATCTTCCCATTGATGGTTTTGGACTGCAACTGGTCAGTCTCTCTCCAAAAACATCAATGGGAAGATTCAAACAAACAATACTAAGTGAATTACACTTCACCCCATTGCAAAAGCAAGTGGCTATCAGGACTCAGTAGCTGTGTGGATAACGCGATGGCGTTTCAAGCGACAACGGTACTGGGTTCGAGTTCCGAAGTGAACATCAACTCTGAGATGCAGGTACACCCAGCTGACGAGTCCCAAATAGGACGAAACGCACGTCAAACTGGATTCCAATGCTAGTTACTATCAATCTTTGCTTACCATGTTTAATTATTATTATTATTTAAACTTTAAATTTATAAATATAATAAATCAGATGCATATAATCCTATTTGTTTTTTACAAACTTGTTTTTGTTTTCAACAGGATATCAAATATGAATAAATCGTATGATTTATCATGTAATACAGCATCATTATTTATTGCGATATTTCTGGTTAGCTTTTTTTGGCGAGATAGTTTTCTACGGAATAGGGTCGCTAACCCCATGCCCAACCCTCTTCCTTTACCCGGACTTGAGATCGGCAGTAACTCTAGATGAGCTACAGGCGGAGTTATTGCGGTATTCGCTAGCAACTATTGGCTTACTGTGAAATCTTCATGTAAATAATTCTATATTAAACTACCAACTGTTTTCCAATAATCTTTTACAATGACCATATTATTTCAACAAAATATCAACTTTGAACATATTTCGTTTCCTTCTTTCATTGTGTCTAATATGATCACGTGTATTGCTTCATTTTCCATTGCTACTTTCTTTCTTTAACCTAGTTGTTTGTTGCTGCAAAAACTTCTTTTTGGAGTTCTTCTTTTTTGTTAAGTATATGTTGGTTAACAACTGGTTATTACCGTTATTATTATTATTACTGAATAATTTGTTTACTACACTTTACAAATTACGTCACTTGTTCACAATTGATTATATTTACAGAACTTGTATAGCTGATACGATAGAGTTTCCCTGCATACACAAAAACTGATAACAGTTTAACGAACAAATAGAAAGTTCCAAATGATATCCATTTATATACCAACAAATGTATAAAATATCTTGCATTTACTACAATCTACTTTTTTTATGTAGATATATATTGTTTTTTATTCCTATGTAAACTTGACACATAACAATAGAACAAACAGGGAATACTTAGCATCAGTCTTATGTAATTCTGTTTGTAATTTACGTCATGATGTAGGAGTTAATGCTTTGTATTTTTACTTATATATTGTTTCTTTATGGGTAGAAGAAAATGTTGTTTACTATTGGTTCATTCGTTTTATTTTAGAACTTACTTGATGTTTCTTATGAGATGTCTTGATCTTACTTACTTAATAACATACGCCTGTTACACCTCGTGGAGGAGCATAGGCCGCCCACCAACATTTTCCATTCAACTCTGTCCCAGCCAATCCTTTCCAGTTAACATTCATCCTTTTCATATCTGCTTCTATTTCCCGACATAATGTATTCTTTTGCTTTCCTCTTTTCCGTTTCCCTTCACCATTCCAAGTTAGCGCTTGCATAGCGATGCAGTTTGGTGATTTCCTAAATGTATGTCAAATTCACTCCCTACATCTTTTCCTAATTTCCTGTTCAGCTGGAATCTGGTTTGTCCTCTCCCATAAAACACTGTTGCTGATAGTATCTGGCCACTGAGTGAACAGCTGTTTATAAATACTTGTACCTCTATGATGATGGATGTAGTAGTTCTCCACGTTTCATATCCGTACAGTGGGACGGACTGTCTTGACGTTCGTATTGAAGATTCTCACTTTGAAGTTAGTTGAGAGTTATTTTGAGTTCCATATGTTCTTCAATTGCAGAAATGCTGCCCTTGCTTTGCCATGTCTTGATCTGGTTGGAATAAAATGATAGGATAGATTAATTCCAAAATCATTTCTTAGTATCGTATGAAACACTTTTTGTTCTTCTATCACATAAAGTGAAAAGGTTAAATTTTCTCAAATTGCATTGTAAGTGGTAAGTCATGCAACTCTTTATTTGTGAGGGTTACTATCCTCTGTAATGTTTACTTCTCATAACCAAATATGATGATTAAAAGTAATTGATTTAGTGTGTAAACTAGGAATTCCCAGTACAGTGTTATTTAAGTCATACAGAATCAGATGAGCACAAACGAACGTATTGCATTTGAAATTCGAAATCAACGAACAATCAAATGCAAGAGAATGATCAGTTCGTACAAATACCACACCTAACTTATATCTTGCATCCAGAGATTTAATACTTATTAAGTAGATTGATATTTTTTGTGTATTCAACCATAAGTTATTATTCATAGTCCAGAATGTTAATACCACTTCCCTGGCGGTAAGGTTCCAACAAGTACGGAACTAGCACAAAACTTACCCACAAAGTGGTCGTGTGTGAAAGACCTCAAGCAGTTGTCCCTTGGGCACGGTGGTCACCCTCTCAGGTCACTAAGACCACTTCTTATCCAGATCCCTTCTCAGGTACCTCTAGAAGAACCCTTCCACAGCATGGAAGACCGGAAAGTGTTAACTGTCATCATACCTCGAACAGCACCCAAGATCACTGTATTCATAATCAACCTCCTTCTTCAATTCATATTATTCCTCCCACCGCCACTTTTAACTATAAATTGCCTCCTTCGACTTCTTCCTCAAGTGTCACAATGGCCAACGATTCTTATGCGCGAAACACTCTCCTAGGTCCACCAAAACCTCGCTTCATGCTACACATTGGAGCCTTCAATGTACGCACTCCATATGCAAATTGTCCGACAGGTTTCCTTGGCTAAAATCTCGTACCATTGATGTATACTGTGTCTCCAAAACACATATACAATATTCTGGTGTGATCATTCACTTGAACTCACCTCGCCAAAACAGATCCAACTGGAGGTTGTAGGCATAGCACTCAGTACGAGAGCAGAACAAGCACTATTAAAGTGTATCTCTGTTAACAGTCACCTATGTGCTGTTCGGCTAAACGGCTTCGTAAGAACTCGGAAGGATAGAGACACACGTCGTTGCCTTTTCGTCGCTTCTGCCTACGCTCCCATTGACTACAACCCGGATGAAGTGAAAGGTGATTTTTACAGAAAGCTTTCTGAACCTCTTCAAAAAGCCAAACACTCAGACATAGTACTCGTAGCAGGTAACCTTAATGCTCAAGTAGGAAGCTTAAACCAAACGAAAAGATATTTTGGTATTCCGGCTCAGTGAACAGATAATGACGACCATCTTTTGCAACTGTGCTCAACAAATCGTTTTTTTAATAAGCACCAATTTTAAGCATAAGGAGAGACGTCGTCTAACATGGCGCCATCCTTTACCAGACCGTAGATGTACTCAAATAGACTATATTTCCATCGGTCATCGTTGGAGAGGCTCGATAGAAGATTGTCGCTCGTTCTGGAACACGTGCTTGGACTCCGATCATGCTTTAGTACGAGCACGCATTTGCTTACACCTCACTGAACGCAGAAAAACCATACTAAGAAGACCCATTAGAATTGAAATCAGTGAAGAGCAAGCAAAAAGTAAGTTCCAGGAAGAACTGAGTGCATATTTAGGCAGTTCTTTAAACGAGGCTGACCCAGAAGTTGTTTGAAAAGATATAAGAACAGCTGTGAAAACAGCAGTAACATCTGTTAGTAATTTAAACCAAAGGGTTCCAAAAAAACCAATGGATTTCTTCCAAGTATATTGCACTGATGGATCCTCGTAAACTAATCCTATCAGTCTCTGAACACGATGAAGAGCAAAAGCAAATCAGATCTAGGTTAACCAAAAGTGTACGGAAC